TAACGGTTAGTTCTTGTCTCCGAATTTGGGGTCAAAACTTATGGTTTTGGTTCTTGTCCACCGTGATTTTGTGTTAACTAGTAATTCCACCCGTGCTACGCACGGGAGTGAAGATGTTTGGATAAGTCATACATAAACTCAAAGAATTTCATAGTTAATTAACCTAACTCAAAACATAAAATATTAAAACAAAATAATCAAATTAAAGCATAAAATAAAATAAGTATTCATTTTTAATACGAAATTAAAAATGATGTTCAAAGTTAAGTACAAATCATGATGCGATATAATAACAATGAGTATGCATGTATGTAAAGCAAGGGAACTATAAATTAGTATAAACTTCTTTGTCTACATTCAATGCTGATTTTGTTGGTTTCCTTTCTTTGTTACATATAAAAAACTTTAACCCAAACGAACTTGTTACTCTCGAGACCGCCACGTACAAATGTCCATGCGGAAAAACATGCCGACAGAGGAAGATGCCAATCTTTTCCAATGACTGTCCTTGACTCTTATTAATGGTCATTGCATAGTTAACCATTAACGGAAATTGTCTATGCCGAAAAGTGAACGGGAGACTAATAATGTCCAATGGTGTCAAAGTAAGGTAGGGAATAAGACACTTTTCGCCGGCATTTTCTCCGTGCATCATTTGATCCTCAATAATATGAGCTCCAAGTTTAGTGACCAGAAGACTGTGCCATTGCACAATCCAAATGAGTGATCTATTTTCCTCATAAGCATCACAGGAACTCCAACTTTCAGCTTCAACTCATGACTCGGCAAACCAGAACATTTGATACTATTAAGAAATTCAGGAGAATGTATCTCATTCAAGATATCATTACTATTTGAGTCAGATGAAGAAGCCGAATTTGAGCTTAGATATGTCTTTAACTCTGAATCTATCTGGCTTAACATGTAATCATTGACTTTATCAACCTCATCTATGGTCGGAGCAAGAATAGCTCTGGAATAAAGATAATCAGATCACTTTGGGTTAAGAATCGGTATAAATAGCTTGAACTATAGATTCAACAGGATCAGACATCATTGGAGCGATCATATCGTCTAGTATATCGATGAGTGATTTTCCATCTTGATTTTCAGCAAAAGCTCCGTCACCAATCTTCAAAATCCACTCCGCAAAAGATTGGATAGTTGGTCCATCCGGCTGGACGAGCATCCTTGCGAGCCTCATGTTTATAGTAAGACTCACTACAGTACAATGTGACCACATGAATGGAGTGTTTAGTGCAGCGTGCACAATATCTTGTCTCGTGCCTTTTGGTATCACGAGAAGAACCTGACTAAAGTCACTCCCAAATACAACCGTCTTCCCACCAAAAGGCAAGGTCGCGTCACAATGGCTGGAGTAACGAAGCACATCTCTCATACTCCAATCAAGAGCTTCGAAACAATGTCGGTGTGTCATCGGTGCCTCATCCCATATAATCAACTTAGATAACTATATCACCTTAGCCAACAGACTACCATGTTTTATGTTGCACATAGAGGCTTCTACAACACTAAGTGGAATCGCAAACCTCGAATGTGTGGTCCTTCCTCCAGGCAAGAGAAGCGATGCTATACCACTTGAAGCCACGTTAAGAACTATATCACCACGAGATCTCACAGCTGCAGACAAAGTCCTCCATATATATGTTTTCCTAGTTCCTCCGTGGCCATATAAAAAATAGAATTTCATGTTTCTACGTATGATCTACATATTCCATTATTCTGTCATACTCAACATGTTGTTCATCTGTCATCTCGGCCAACAAATTTGCATGCTCCTCCATCAGATATGATTTATTATACCACAGTTCTTCATAAATGAGAACTTCTTCAAGCGAGGGCATTTCATAATAAGGTAGCAAGAGTATGCCTGCAAAATCACGTAGTGATCTACCTCTTGACTGCAAGAGCTTCTGAATCTCCAACAAACAGTACTTTTCAATTTTCTCTTGATCCAGTTCAAAATCTGCAGTAACGCATTTAAATATTTTAGTAGGTTAGTTAAAATTAAACTAATAAATAAAATATTCCACAATATATAATGTTTCATCACAACCAAATTACACATACAATACTTTTAACATTAATTAACATGCAAATAAAGAAAACATCTTTACTAATACAATACATTTCATGAAAAGATGCATAACGTTTTTGTATTTTGTTTAAGTGAAAATGTCGAGTAAAAATTAAGTAATAATAAAAGTGCTATTATTTGTATTAATTGATAGACCTTGATTTATTAACCTTTTTATATTTTTTCTGTCAATTTAGTAAATGAAATGAGTTCACTCTAAGTATATGTTTTATACTATTATGAAAAGATATTCAAAAGCCATATCTAACATAGTAAATAATACTCTGGCAGTAAACTACGTTACTATACTTCATCTTACAAAGTAACGTAGTATAAGCTATCGTTCATATTCTCTAAATAAATATTTTGTAATAAATAATTTTAATAAGGGAATAAACTACTAACATTTATTATATTTGAAAAATATTTTTTATGGTGATCTTTAACACACACACACACACATGAGTATTGATCACCTCAGATAGTTGTGACATTAAACCCCGTTCGAACTTTCCTATCACAGGTAATGTTAAGATTGACTAGCAATAAAGTTAAAATCAATTTTAATACTTAAATTTTACATATTCAGAAATTACATTGAAAGGAATGTACAACACAAAATTCAAATAAGAATATTTTTTTATATGCTAAATAAGTTAATAATATGAAACTTTATTGACCAAGAAAAGTTGATTTTACAAATCATTTTAGGACAGAGTGAATAATATATTCAAATGCAGTATTTGTATGGCTGGACTTAGGTCGATTCTGTAACGGTTAGTTCTTTCTTGTGTTCGAATTTGGGGTCATAACTTATGGTTTTGGTTCTCGTCCACCGTGATTTTGTGTTAATATCAAACATTTTGGTTATACCAATTGCGCCTCGTTTTACCTAGTCTTGGACTCGGGTCGGGCCGCCCAATCTGGGAACCCTCCTGGCCCGTTACTGTGCGGGCCCTGCCCGGTGAATCTAGTATGGTTCCGAGCCTAGGCCCGGGGGTTAGGGTGGGGCGGTCCCGGTTCAACCCACTCTTTGGAACCGGCCCGGCCGGTCCCGGGCCCGGTTCGGGTCTTTTTTGTTTTGTTTTTTCATTTTTTTGGGCTTTTCCTGAGTTGGGCTGGGTGTTGTTTTTTTTTTTTGGGGGGGGGGGGGGGAGGGGGTAGGGGGGGTCAGGGGTTAATTAGAAAAGAAAAAAAAATTAACATGGACCCGGCCCGGTCTCGGGCCTTCACCCCAAACATCAAAAGCCCGACCGGGCCTAGGCCCGACCCGGACCCGACCCGAGTCCAACACTAGTTTTACCCTTACAAAGAATCCATATGCGTTGCAATTAATCAATGTTCTAAAAGGGGCTAGACACTACCTGGGCGCTAGTCAACGCTTAATGCCCAGGCAGTTAGGTTCCAACAAGTCAGAAACATGGAAATTAGTTTTCTATTTTACAAAAAGATGATAAGTAATACTCGCTCCGTCCCTCAAAGATGTTCCCACTTTTCTTATTTGGATGTCCCAAAAAGAAGTTATCCTTTCATTAAATGACAAGTTATCTACATCAAAACAGTCAAAACAGTGTCAAATAGTGCCAAACAAATTCAAACAATGTCAAAGCAGTAAAATTTACCCCCTGGTAAGTTTATTTCCTAAATATGTGTGTAGGTCAAATCGGGAACATCTTTGCGGGACGGAGGGAGTATCTCCCTATCTCTCTCTTCCCCCTCTACACACACATATTAACATGCATAAATGATAGAAACATCACATTTAATAATATATTATAATTTCAGTTTCAGTTACCAACACGTCCACTTACAGTTACCAACGTCCAATTACCCATAAACCACCGCTGGCCACCGCCATCGCCGACCGCCACCGCCACCGCTGGCCACCACCGCTAGCTGCCAACCCAGCCCTCTCATACGCCAACACCAGCCCCATTTCCAGTGCACCCCAACCCCTCTCCCACCTACCCTAGCCCCCAACCCCACTGCTATCGCCAGAAACCATCAATGTCCACCACCGCTGCCACCCTCACTCCAGCTGGCAGTCACAAGCCTCCTTGGCCCGTCTCCAATCCAAACCACAGTCCCCTCTTCACCATACCCAACCCCAAATCCCCTGCCACCGCCAACCATCGCAGCCCCGACCACTGCCACCCCAGCCACCACACCCCACCCCTAATCCATGGAAGACTGCAACCTCCTCATCCTGCCTAACCACCGCACACCACCGCCCCTCCCTGGCGACGATCGTCGTCGCCCAGGCAGTCCCTTCCCCAACGCCCAGCCCTCACACGACCATAGCCCCTGTGGCCCTGTATCTCCTCCAGCCCCAACACAACACCGAAAAACCGTGGCACCACGCCGCTCTGTAGCCGAATTGCCCAGCCACACTCGATGTCAAACCCTAGCTGTCGGACAAGCCATTGTCGACCACTGCAGCCCCATCTCCATCGATTACCGATGGTTCAGCCAGAAAAGAAGAATAGTGGAAAGGGAGCTTTTTGGGACGTCGGTGGCGGAGGCGGTGTAATGGGGCGGAGATGGTGGTGACGGGCATGGCAGAATCGCAGCAGGGGACCGATCGATCGAAGGATTTGGGTCCTTTTTTATCGATCAATAAGGATTGGTCCCATCAGGGTGTTTTAGCCCATTTAGTAATGTTGAGCCTTATTTTTGTCAAAATTAAAAACTAGTCCTACTTTTGTCCAAATAGAAGTCCATGGTATTATTTTTGCCATTCTTGCTTGTTTTATTTTGTCAGCTCGATACTCACAACGCTATCACTATGCTTGGTAGGAAGGAAAATAGATCATGGGAAGAAATCTTGTAATGAATTAATGATAGGATGTATGTATTATTTAAATTTTGTTATATTTAAATTTTTGATCAATGAAAGTAAAACTTTGACGAATAGTATGCTTTTATATGAAAACGTTTATAATAAGATATATAAAAATGACATGAAATTGCACTCAACAGATCGGACCAGATTTTTGCAATTGTAAAATACACAGACACCAAACATGTATCTAACTATTCGAGACCTGATCAAACAAGAATATTTCTATCCATGCTATATGCCAAAGTTGCCAAAGTTTATTTCATACCAAGAAAATTTTCGTAATGATAAATATAAGCGGGTATTTATTGTGAAAATAAGGGGTTGCTTGTATTTCAAAAGGTCCATCACTCCCAAACACCCCCTCCGAAATTCTCTGTTGTCCGTAACTTATTACAGCACCAACTCCACCAAATAAAACATTCTTCCATACAACATGGCGATGTCTATGCAGACAAGGCTGCGTTTGGAATAGCTTAATTCTCTGAACCAACTTTTGTCTCGCCATTGCTAGAGTTCTTCAGCAACTCCGATAGCCTTAGGGCTAGGCTCTGCTTTGCCGCAGGAGAGACACCGTTGACCCCAATGATTGACTCCAGAACTGCCTCTGAGAGCCGCTTGTTCTCTATTACTGTGTTTGCTGTCTCAGGCATTGACCCATCTTTGGAGAAGCTAATCTGCAATACAAGACGTTAAAGTTTTGGTTGTTCCAAAAACATTAGGAAAAATTGATAGTAATAATCCCAACTATTGGCGGTCCGCTCATAATAATCCCAACTATTGATTATTACAGAATAATCCCAACTTTAGGGACCTTCCGCCAGTAATGGTCCCTATGAATAAATTCTTGTAGTTTTTAAAAGTGGATGAGATGAGATATAACAAGTAATCCCTATAAATAATCTCAACTTTTAATTTTTACACTTAATTTCTATTTAAAATTCACTTTTTATAGAGGTAATATATGGTCATGGACCATTATTGGCGGATAGTCTATATAATTGGGATTATACAAAAATAATCAATAGTTGGGATTATTTTCAGCGGATCGGCAATAGTTGGGATTATTATTTTCAATTTTTCCAAAACATTATCACTTCACCCTCATCAATCAATTTGGACATTAAAGAGGTGTTTAGAACTGATTCTGCTTCTGCTTCTTTTTAAAGCAGAAACAGAAACAGTTTTCAGAAGCCGATCACCCCCAACTTCTAAAAAAACTGAATTTAGGAGTAAATTTGAGCACCAGAATCACTTCTATACTTTTACCAAAACACTCCAATTTCTGCTTCTGCTCCCTGGGGGAGCAGAAACATTTTTAAAAATCAGATCCAAACACCCTCAAAGTTTTGAGAGACAGAGGAAGTAATACGTATTACAGACAGTGGCGTATTCAGGAATTTTGGCGAGTGTGGGCAAACTTGCACTACAATTTAGTCTGATATTTCACAAATAGCAAAACACATTATTAATATTGTTTGATTAAATTTAGTTTAAGATATATATGTACAAGTATGAATAAAAAGAAGATTAGTTTATGTTAAGGGTGTGTAAGATGCAATTGCGTATAAAATTTGAGAAAAATATCCAAATATAAGTTAAACATAATAAAATTTAGTGAATTTTTGAGCATTTCTTTCTTTTAATATGAAAGAAAACACTCTTAATCCTATTTTAGATTTTTTCCCCAACATTTAACTCTTATTTTGAGCAATTTCTTGTAAAATTTTACATATATATAAAGGTTGGGTTGGGGTTGAGTGGGGGCAGCTGCCCCCGCTGCCCCATAGTGGATACGCCACTGATTACAGAGTGTAAGGATGTTTTCACTTGGACTGTAATTTGCTGGTCTGATCTGGTCTGGTTTGGTCTGTACTGGTGTGGTCTGGTTTCCTCTGGTATGATTTCTTTGTATTTTTATAACTATCCAAGTCTAGTCTGATCTGATCTGGTGTGGTCTGGTCTGTGACAAATTACAGTCCAAGTAAAAACATCCTAATTATATATGGGTGAACGACTTATTAGACGGACTTTTAATGTCTAATTTGATCTATTTAAGTTTAATTTGATTTGATAATTGTCTGATTTATCAATATTTTATTATTGGCTAAGACCGATTAGTCAAATCCGAACTAGCGTAGGCTGAACCCGATCTATTTAAAAACATCCTACAAATTGAGATATTCCTCAAGTATGATTAGTCAAGTGACTATTTTTATATGTGAAAAAATGTGACTAATAAAGTAATATATTTAAAATATATATGATATCACTATAAGATATTCATGTCCCTTATGAATGTCAATACCAGGAAAACATGTCTCCGCGACAATTGAAAAGTTTTCCTATCAAATTCTGAAAAAAAAAAAACTAAAAACTGAAAAAAAAAAATCATTAGAAATTTCTGGCTATTTTTTCGGTGGCTTTTCTGACAGCGGTACTCCACGGTGGTTCCTGTCAATGATTGGGCAGGTGTGGGGTGAGGTGGGACAGAGGTTGGGTATAATAAATTACAATACGAAAAAATGAATTAATAAAAAAATTGGTCATATTTTTGGATAGGAGAAAACTAACAAATCTTTGTATTGTATAAAAAATATAAGTAATATTTTACGAAGTATCATGTAAAATTTTGTGCGATTTGTATTACATATTGAGGTTTAAAGTGTTGCATACTTGCATAGTATTCACGATGAAATAAAGTTAAAAAACATTTGCATATTAATGCTCAAAGTGCTGCATTTGAAAAGGTTTGATTTATTTACTAAAATGTCACCTCTCATTTTTTCCCTTTTTCCTTAATATTCCTTCTACTATTTCTAATTCATCACTTGTTCCTTTCTACTAAAAAAAGCATCATATCAATACACTTACTTTTTAAGTAAAATGAATCAAGTCATTTTAACATGCTATACCTGGTTATTTTTTTAAAAACTAAATTTAGACTATTGATAAATTTTATAAAAATTCATATAAAAAATAATGTGATAATATAAAAAATAGCATAAATTTAAGAATAGATAAAAATCCTAGTAACGGGGCTTAAATGATGAATTAAAAATCCTTTTATCTTTTCCTATAATAAAACTTGTGACATAGACCCTATGACATAAAGCTTGTTTGTACCGCTCAAATGTGTTTCATGGTCAGTGCCGGTCCTACCTAAATTCAGGTCTGAGTCGAGCTTCATAAAATAGGCCCTGTGCCTAGTGTTTTTATTCATTAAATAACACAAAAACGCAATTCTTAAATTAAAGTCTTACACCGTAACAATATAATGTTACAGTTTATAAAAGTCTTATACTTTAACAATGTAATGTTACGTTTTGTGAGGTTGTACTTTCTGAAGTGACTGTTTTATTCGAAATCAAGTACTTATTAATGTCTCCATCCTGAGTTTGAGTTAATGATTCAATACATAATTTCCTTTTCCTCTTTTGAAATCCTTAAAATATACGTAGTATAATTTATTGAAATCCTTAACAATATATACTACAGAGTAGTAAATTTCTCTACAATTCTACAAATACAAAGTATATAATTTGATTACTTGCGAAGTGAGAATTCCAATATTGATAAACCTAAATAAAAAAGCAAACAACAATCAACTAGCATTTAAAAATTTACAAATTAACACATTTAACATTTAGCAAATCAATATAAAGTTAGAAAATTTCTTAAAAATACATAGGTATAGGTATAATAGTAAAGTAAGCAAAAAATGGGCCCCTAAATTTATATAAAAGTCATATGAATGAGTATTTTATGTAGTCCACCCCAAGTTCCCACTAACTTTATTGAATTTGCAATAGTCGTGGCCGAAATGAATGACTGGAATTTGAAGAAGTTTTTTTTTTGAACGAGGAATTTGAAGAAGTTGGGACCGAAATGATCGAGAAGCTTCCAAAATATGAGCAAATAAATTTGTGGAAATTTCCCGGTTAATACACTTTTACCAACCGTATTTCATTTATGTCACGACATTGTTTTCTTTTCAACTTCTAACTTTTTCCTTTTCAGTTTTAACTTCTGAATTTCAAAAATAGACTAGGGCCTAAATTTTCAACAAAGTTCTAAATCGGAAACCTCACTCTAGATTGTAAATTTTCAGTGGGAGAGATCCATCGTAGCGGCGGCGACACAGGCTGAATTCGTTAACGCTTCCATCTTAAGAAGACGCTGGCGATTGATGTGACTCACATCAAGTTCGGCGACCGACCTATCAAGATCGATAATGTTCCGATCGAGCCGATCCATATGGTAATACTCTTCCAAGCTTTCACAAATTGAAGATCTGTCACGTTACTAAGAGTTCGGATCGAGTGATTTTGTATTATCCGTTTTTAATTTTTAAAAAAGAAAAGTACGACAGAAGTTTGGGAATCAGGAGGCAGGAAGAAAAGTTTCAAGTTCTCACAATTAATGGTTGACATGTTTCAGGAGGCGGGAAGATGGTTTCTGATACGAAACGATCTGAGCGAAGGAAGACCAAAGGTCACACAGCTCGTTTAAGGTTCCGGAAATATCAGTATTGATCGCTCATGAGCTCTTGTGGTAAAAGAATTTATATCAGGTTCAATTTGTAGGTGATTATCTTCTTATGAACTAGTTTACTCTTTCCCTAAAGAACTACATAGAGACTACGTGTTAATTTCATAGACATTGACACTTCTGTGAGTGAGTTCACATATCTCATTATTGTTTTGCAGTGGAGCAGAAAAGGAAGCCCCTCATGCCATTTTGTATATCTGGAATGATATATTTTCCAAAGGCTGGAACACAAGTATGTGTGCATTTCAAGTTGTGCCTGTTTCATCTCTGTGAATCCACCTCTTAGAGGTCAAGCAAATTAGAGTTCAATCTATTTTATCTATTTTATCTCAAATGTGGAGAAGGTTTGTTGCTTCCAACCATATCTTCTTCTCCTTTTTATACCCACGTTTACATTAAGCAGACTAGCTAGAGAGCAATCTATTTTCACATCTTGCCATAGTTTAAGGAATTTCACCTAAAGCTTAACAAGTATTGTATAGACTTGTTCTATAGTTATTCCTTATTCATTACATGATGTTGAAGTAGCTCTAAATGGGAACTTTGACGCAGCTTTGGATATTTTTGGTGTTCTAGATATGGAAGAATTGAGGAATTGATATCAATGTTACGTTGTGAAGAGACACAGACACTATATGAATCCTTCCATAGATTGGTATTGAATTTAACAAAATTATTCAATCCCATTATTTTGTAAATATTCCTATATTTAGGGAGAGACAATGTCAGTAGCGGAGAGATAGAGACTAACTGTTGACCTTCGTTTGACAATTGTTATCTTCTTAAATTAACAAATCCAATATTGATATCTTCAATGGAATAGATGCATAACATTCTTTCTATGCGGTCTAATCATGTTAAGTGTGTTAAGCTGCTATGGTATTATCAAGACATTAAGAAAATATGAATGGGAAAAAGTACACATATTATTTCTGCTCTTATATGCTTTATTTATATGCTAAGGTTTCTCAATTCATTTCCTAGCCAAAAACATGGATTGCTTGAGAAGTTTTCTTCAATTATGCCGAAGGTTCCTTGATTCATTGATTTTGACAACAAAATGAAGAGTAACAAGGAAAGTGAAGACATGATATTCAACCCTGAAGAATTGTATGATAGATATATGAAGGAAGTCAAATTATATGATAGATATACGTAAAACATTGAAATACTAGATTGAATTACACAATTGTTGTGATACTTTTATAAATATTTTTTGTTTCTTTTTGTTGCATTGAATGTGTTTTCTTTTTGTTGCATCGTGTTGTTTTTTGTTGCATCGTGTTGTTTTTTGTTGCATGTTGTTGCATTTTGTTGCATCGTGTTGTTTTTTGTTGCATGTTGTTGCATTTTGTTGCATCGTGTTGTTTTTTGTTGCATGTTGTTGCATGTTGTTGCATCGTGTTGTTTTTTGTTGCATGGTGTTGCATTTTGTTGCATCGTGTTGTTTTTTGTTGCATTGTAATTTGTTACTTATTTTTATTTTATTTCTGATCTTGATTTTTGTTGTTTATTTAGGTTTTTATTTATCTTTGCAACTTGTTTGAAGTAAAAAAGATCATGTATAGATTTATTATTCACCAAAAACAATAAATTTGAATTTATGAATACAAATCAACCACAGAAAACATAAAGCAACAATAAAAAACAAAATGTTCAAAGTTATCAACAAAAGGACAAAAAAAACAATTGGCAACAAAATTATATAATAAGTATTGTTAAAATTTGGAGCTATTTAAAATAAATAAATTACAAGATTCAGATTTTTTTTCAATTGTTTCAAATTTGAATTTCTTTTTTTACACGTTTTATTTTTGAGTTTTATTAAATTTTTATTTTTTATTTTTGATTTTTTTTCTTTTTTATTTTATATGTAGTATGTCGTAGCATCTAATTTTATTTTTTTACTTTTTTAAAATTTATATATCTATATTGAATTTTGAAATTTTTTTACTTTGTATGTATTTTGATTTCCAAAATAGTACAAAGTAATTGTTTCATACTGTAAAAGTTTTTAATCGCCTATCTTTATTTTATACTACGTATATTTTAAAATCATTTTGTATAATGTTTTTTTAATATTCTAAATATTTTATAGTTTAATTTATTTTTTCTTTTTTTGAGAAAGTTTTATTTTTACTAATATATTTCATTTTTGTTTATTATTAATTTTATAAAAAATATATTATATTTTTGATTGTTTTATACGAACTTTTTATACAAATTAAGTGATATACGTGAAATTTTTGCATTTTTATTTATATATTTTCATTTTTTATTAATTTTATAAAAAGTTTCAACTATTGTATCTTTGATTATTTTAACGTACTTTTTATACAAATTAAGGGAATATGAGGTCTTCTAAAAAATAAAATTATAAAAAGTTGTGTTTTTAATACAATTTTAAATTTTTAATCTATTTTAAACCCTTCTCATTTTTCTGCTTTAAAATCTAAATTCCTTTTTTATATTTAATTTACAAGCTTTCAATCTCGATTTTTGTTATGCATTACGGAGTATTTGATTTCTTAGTTTGATTGTTTATTATTTATAATTTTACCTTATAATTTTAAAAAGAATCTTATTTTCAATACTTTTATTATTTTCTAATTATCTTCAGCTTTTTAACATTTTATTAAATATTTACATTTTTTTTGCAGCAAAAAATATTTACATTTCTACTATTTGAAAACACGAATTGAGTTATTCTTGGAGTTTGTACAAAAATTTAATAAAGTTTGTGTATAGAGGTCGTCTACTGCTCAGTGGCCATGTACGCTTCTTTGAAGTATGGATTCCGGTAGGTTGCATCTACGTACATTGTCTATTTTTGAAAGGAAAGACTTGATTAGTCTGTTTTTGAAAATAACTTTGAAACGGGAAAAAGGTGATATTTTTTTCATTTTTGGTCTCCTTGTGTAAAATTCCCAATAAATTTAAAATCTCTTTTGTCAACAAAACCTAAGAGCCCGTTTGGTAATATTCAAATTGGTTGTATTGGCTGATTCTGCTGAAATTTATGAAGTTCTGGTTGAAGTGACTGATTCTATTGATTTATGAAAAAATTATATTTTAAAATATATTTTATTAATAAAATAAAGAAAAAATAACATGAAAAACAGCTAAATGATCTTCTCGGTAACTTCAGCTAATACAACCAGAAAAATAATGTCAACTTCTCTTTTTCTTATTATTACACAATTCAACGCGGAAATTAAAATTTATTTATTTAGTGAAAAAGTTGACCGATAAGGATTGTATAAAAATTAACCACCTTATTCTTTCGGGTAGTAAATCGAAAAAGGATTGCTGAAAAAATTCCAAATTTATTGTGGACGACAATATAAGTGAAAAAACATGAATTAAATACCGTTAATGAGCCAAGGGGTGAGTGAGTGAAGAGAATAGAGGCGCCAGGTTGGAACATTTGATCGCTGAAAACATGAAGAAACTTTTGTATAGCTTGGCTCTCTTCATCGCCGTATATCCCGGCGCCTTTCCAATAAGCGACGCAGTTCTCCGTCACCTTCTCTGAGTATTGCTTACCGCTCAATGGCAAAATCATTGTTATCTGTGTCAGTTTCTCCAAGGGCCCTATATATTAAAACCAGCAATTCCCAAATCGCATTCAATCAAATGAGAAATTTCCCAATTGGAAGCAGCAAATGAGTTTTTCAATTCTTATTCCTTTTAAGATCCGTTAAAAAATCCGTTAATCGCTCCTACTCTCGTAAGAGTAAGTGTTTTTCAATCAGGTCTTAGTTGTGATCATGGCAATATTCCAATTTGACTTGTAAACCAAATTGAGAATGATCTTATTATTTAATGGGAAGATAAAATTTATTTTCTAATAATTTTCTACCGGGGGTGATCCTCCACATATTGATCCGCACAACCACGGGGTGATCCTCCACCAACGAATCCACCACGATTGTGCAAGGACCAGGGACAATTAATTAGGCTAATTAATTAATTATGGGTAAAAACTAAGAAGTAATGATAAAGATGTTTTTACTTTTGAACTGAAATTTTATGGTCTGGTCTGGACTGATATGTCTGATAAAGATCTGATTTCTATGTATTTTACAACTGTTCAAATCTAGTCCAATCTAAGACAGTCTAGTCCTAGTCTTATGGGCCTTATTTTCAGAAGAACCGTATGATCATTCCCTCCGTAACATTCATATCTTCTCGCTTTTGTTTTTCAACCGTAACATTCATATCTTCTTATTTTAAATCTTCCCGTCGTAGCTCAATAATTTTAAAAATAATACACTATTTTAATTACTTTTTTTGGATTTGTCCTTCCTTCCAGCAAACTATTTTATTAATTTTTCACTATATCCTCAATAATATATATCTTTTTGCTATTCTTAGTCTCAATACTTTTAAATGGGAAGATATGAATGTGAAGAAAGTTGTACATTTTGATCTTACTGAAAGAGATTGTTTCATAGGGACACAGTTTTAACTTACCGGTAACGATGTCCCTGTAAAAGTCGACCGAATCCGTCAACTCCTCTGGGGTTTTGCCGCCCCACTTAACGGCGAGGGATGAAACGGCGTCAGCTTCCAAGTACACGCCGATGGCCGTGAACTTGATGAACTTCCCGTCGATGTCCAATCCTCTCACCCCTGCGCCGCCAAGGATCAATGCGTTCACGGAGCCCGGAGGCTTCACCGTCGCCGGAAACACGTGGCTCTCGACTTCGATTTCGGTGACGGACGGTGGCGCAGACATTGTTTCCGGCTATTGAGCTCTAAAGAGTTACCGCTATGGGTGAATTGATAAAAATGTATAATCGACAAGGAATGCAGAGTAGTTAATTGTATATGTTTGGGAATTGAATTGAATGAGATGAAAGGAGCGGTTGGATTTGTAATTATAAGGATCGTTGGTTGAGGCTTGGAAGGGTGGGTAGGTTTTGTGGTTCAGGTTCAATGGTAGCTAATGTTAATGACTTAATGTTTTAAATTTGACTCTTTCACTCCTTGGTGAAATTAGATTTTGAGGTAAAACTGAAGATTTACTATATGATTCTTTTTTAGAATATTTTGTCTTTCCTTGTTGTCTGAAGAGGTTTTGGTCTAGTCCCTCTCTTCTTTTTCTCTTGATTGATTTAATAAAAACCGACAAATGACCCCCGACGTTTGCCCCATTGATTTTGGTGGTTGGCCTTCTGGGGTAAAAAAAAGTTGAATACAAATTATTCTGATTTCATTACTACTCTAGTAATTAATCACATTTTTGTAAACAAATTAGAAACAGGCTTAGTGTCTAACATAATAACATTTGCTTGGCTAAATGATTGAAATATACGTAGTAGGCTTAGTACCTTTTAATCGAGGGTGTTTTCTTAATTCGAACAAGCAATGCAAAAAACGGGATTTGTTTAGGGAATGTGGGATTGCAAAATTCAGAAAAGGGCATTTCAATTTCAAATAGGAAAATGAAAAAAAAAAGAAAAGCTAATCCTATTAAGACATTCGAATTGAGCGTAGGCTGCGTAGAGAATGAAAAGAAATAGAATTCATACAAAATATAAATCTCAATACTGTTTTGTTGGGTTAATGGCCCAGCACATGGGCTGGCCCATTCACCTCGACAGGACGAACGTCTCCCTTGGCAGGGCAGTCCACTCGGACGAACGTCCGTACAAAGACAAGTGGATCAAATCCACAGACAAACGCAACGGCGACGAACGTCGCCTCCGGAAGCTACTGTCACTTGGAGTCAATCCAACCCATGTGACAAATCATCTAAGGGCTGGGATACGAACGGCCCATTACCCTTTGCAAACACCACCAAGAGCAGGCCCCCTTATCCGGACTGGACGAACGTCTCCATGACTAGGCGGGAAACCCAGATTGTGGTGGGAAGCGCATTTAATGCCGGAGATTTGGTGATTGGGACATCAGCCACACACAAGCCTCCACGTCAGCATAGCCAGCTACCCATTGGTAGTATAAATAGCAGCATTTATTTCATTGTAAAGGGTTGGCAACTTACTATTCTTAGCACTCTAGCTTATAGCATTCTTACTCGCAGCTCTTCTACTGCCTTGTAAGACGAACGGCCGACGAGCCTTAGCAGAAGTATTGTATTGGGGAGTTATTAACTGATTAATAATACCTAATCTCTTACTCGCTATCTTTTGTTCCCTGTAATCCATCTTGCTTGTTAGTTGGACTAGTTATTCACTCACCACTCCACTCGAAATCCTCGGGCTTACGTGTTGGACCCGAGGGTTGAAGGAATAAACCCCAACACTGGCGCCGTCTGTGGGAAACTGAACTAAAAGTTTCCAAAACTCTCCCGAAACAGCTACTAAATCTACCAACAGCAAGCACGATGGCAAGAAACAACCAACAACGCGACCTCTCGGAGCAACTGACCTCTGGACGAAGGAGTCGCGGGCAAACAACAGAGCGTTCTGAGATGCTAGGGACCGCCGGCATTTAGATGTGAAATCTGCCTTTCTGAATGGCTCACTAGAAGAATCTGTGTTTATCCAACAACCTCCAGGTTATGTGGTCAAAGGACATGAGCATCAAGTTTTGAGGTTGAAGAAGGCTTTATATGGCCTAAAACAAGCTCCTAGGTCTTGGAACAAAAGGATATATTTCTTTTTGACTAGTATTGGATTCAGAAAATGTACTGTAGAGCATGGTGTGTATGTGAAAAGTACAAAACCCGATGCAATAGTTATTATTTGTCTTTATGTTGATGATCTGTTGGTAACAAATAGAGATATAACTGAGATAGCTGAAATCAAGAACAAGCTGAATAATGAATTTGAAATGACTGATTTAGGTGAGCTGACTTTCTTTCTTGGGATTGAATTCACTCATACCAAGCAAGGGATTCTGATGAATCAAAGGAGGTATTTGTCATAAGTATTGAAGAGGTTCAATATGGCATCTTGTAAGGCAGTTGATACCCAAGTAGAGACACATTTGAAGCCGGATAGTTGTGAACAACAACCTAGAGCTGATGCAACCTTGTATAGACAACTAACCAGGCGTCTGAGATTCTTGTGTCATAGCAGAACTGAGATCTTGTTTGGGGTAGGATTGGTGAGTAGGTTTATGGATGATCCTAGACAGTCTCATCTAATAGCTGCAAAAAGGGTACTCAGGTACCTAAAAGGGACATCAGATCATGGTGTGTTGTTTTCTCAAGGAAGTAGAAATGGTGCAAAAGAGCAAGGTTTGAAGCATCTAGTCTCATACTGTCACGCCCCGGACCTACCCGGACACGTCAACAATCCGCCGTACAGTATGAATAGTCAACCGCAGTCTAACACATCCATACTATACAAGGCGTCTGGAATATCATTCACACATAGTACATCCATAAACAAACATAATGTAAAATATTCATTAAAGCAGCGGAAACAATATTACAAGTGTTCAAGCCACACTTGGCAAACTTGGGCATACAAGCCCTCAATAATTTATTAGAAAACATTATCCATGAGCATCATTGTAATTGTTTTGAAAACAGAACGGAGGAAGCACGAACCACGTCTTCTCTCCAAGAACCCCCGAAGCAACGGGTACAGGAAGCAAGCTCTAGCTTCTACCTGAAAACTGTGAGGTGGCCTCCCCCGTGAAGGGGAGGTCAGTACTTTGAAGCATTTGAAAAGTACAATGACAACTATACTGCATATAATTAATGTTTCAATCCTTAAGACCCTCAACATAGGTGTTATCATAATACTAGGAAATAACCCATAGTTACCCCTTTCAAATCATACATAAGTATATATCGTCAAATAGTCGGCCCATAGGCCCATTTGTATTTTGTCAAAACCCTTTTGCATCGTCATGCGATATTTTATTTCCCCGTTTGTATTTAATAATACAATTCAAATCGCTCTGTGATAATTCAAAATATAATCTGTATCGCCCTGCGATAATCTAAAAATACAATTTGTATCGCCCTGCGATAATTCAAAAATACAATTTGTATCGCCCTGCGATAATTCAAAAATACAATTTGTATCGCCCTGCGATAATTTAAAAATACAATTTGTATCGCCCTGCGATAATTCGTATTGCCCTGCAATAATTCATACAGGACCTGTCACCGCTATCCAAGTCTCCATGGAGCACTCGGTCGGAGTCCAGCATCCTGCCCCTGGACTCATACCCTGTTCCCGTAGGAAGGTAAGGCCCATTCGGGGTCCTATCTTATGTGTTACCGCTGTCAAAGCCTCGCAAGGTCTTTGATTCGGATTCCACCCTTATACGTGATCACGCTGTAAGTCCATGCTATCCATCTCGCTCTCTAGAGCCAAGTAGGGCCATGGTCCTTACATCTATCCTATTGTGGGCCCATGCAGTCCGGCACGATCCTCAGACTCGTCCGACCCATGACCCTCATCTATCTATATTAGCAAGTTCATGGGGTCGGGCATCTATCCTTAGACTAGAGCCGAGCCATGACCCTTGCTACCAATCAAACAACCAATTACGGGTATCCTAAAGACCACCCGGATAATAATATCAACAATCCAATCCTAGGATAATTATATCATTTAAATCATCTAAGGCTATCCCAATTGAATACCCTAGTGACGAAGCATCACAATCCTAAACTTAGGATTAATTTATAAATGTTCATATTATAACCTCGGACTAGTCATTTAGTATCACCCGAGTTATTCTTAGTTCAAATTCTCTTTCCCTTTTAAACAAACGTGGCGGCCATGCCATAACTCATTCTCACTCCATTCTATATTGACTTTACTAACCATAAAATCAATATAATTAAATAGTGATTAATAAAAACATTTTATTAGTTCATCACTAAATCAACTAGAACAACTTCTCAAACATATCAAGTAATCATGCTCCAATTTCTCATACCCCAATCAATCATGCATCAACTCTTCATATACAACAATATGATCAATTGACACTTTACTTGGCATATTAGTTAATTAAAATCATGCTTTTATAACATTAGGTAATCTCATGAATTAACCCACTAGTTATAAACAATATAGTCAGCCATCCTCACCTTATGATGTGCTCAACTAGTTGCCTTTGCTAAGCCCTTCGATCAATCCCCGTTCTAGGCCAATTGAAAGTGAAAATTCTGGACAGCAGACAAAAGCCGGGCGGCTTTTGCAAAAGGTGGGCGGCTTTCGGGCCTGCAGCTCGAAAAACAGTCCCCAACAATGGCGGTTTCCGGCGATTTCAACTCCTATCGATTCCACGACTCTTCTAAGTTAATTACCACCACTTTATATCAATATAATACACTTTTAAACATGTAGAACTTCAAGTTTAATCCACCATATGATTTCTTAAAAATCATACAACATAAAACTAGTTAAAGAAAGTTTGTTGAGTTCTCACCTCAAAAACTATTCTTTTCTTCTTGGATTTCCTCTCCTCTTGCTTCCTTCAAGCTACGGATTGGTGAGAGTGTTTTTCACAGAGCTTCCCCCTTTCCCTTGACTTGTGCGTGTGGTGAGAATAGAAAGAGGAAGCACCCCCCTCAATCAAAGAGTAAAATAATGTGGAGTATGGGCCAAAGGGTGTGTGTGGTTGTCTTGTACATCACCTCCTCTCAAAAATCCGCACCTAACCATTTTAAGTTGTTCACATCCCTATTATTTGTGAGAAAGGGCTTGTAGAATATCCCCAAATGGGTGTAGGAAATCTCTTCCAATTATTCCTGCTATTTTTGGCAGGTTGTGTCAAAATGGCACTTGGATTGCCCAATCATTTTCCTCAACTTCAGTTGGCATTTTATTGGGCTTCTAATATTATTATGATGACCCAACTAAATATTTAATAGTCCATTCTCCATATTATGGACCTGCTAAATAATTTAATTAATCATTCATTAATCAAATGTACCATTCTCTTACACAATATTATTCGTCAGGAAATTCAAATACATGTTTAATTTTCAAATTCAAAGTAC